TTCAATTTCAGTCATTACGATTTAAATTACTTAAGAACGAAAGCGGCGCCAATTAAAGAGAGGAAGTACTTTAAGCATTCAGCCGAGCGGTTAACGATGGCAAATGATGTGTTAATGACAGACGGAAACGATGCAGTGGAGAGAAATTGAGAGTCAACAACGACGACATGCACACAGCATAAAAATAATGCAATTTCGCTGGAATGGGGGCAAGAGAGGGGCCCCAAAGGAAATGCAAATGCTGATGCAAAGGATACTCAGGCGAGTTGTAAAGGAATGACATGAAATAGAAAGGAAGGAAAGGGAAGGAAAGGCGTGGAGGGGTGAAGTGAAGAAAATGACATTACAACGGTAAGCAGGAATTGTGTGTGTTTTTGTACGCTTTCCTCATGCACACACACACACACAAGTCGCCGCTAGCTGGTGTGAGCGCGCGCCGATGCTGTGCCACATGAAGTATGCGCATAGCAATGTCCTTATGAGCAACCGAGCAGCACGGTTGTCATAAATGGAGGACACCGCAAAGGCAGCTCATCAGCGAGACGCAGTCAAGTACATAACATAGCATGGCATCTGTCTCTTATACACATCTAGATGTGTATAAGAGACAGGCGCATAGCAATGTCCTTATGAGCAACCGAGCAGCACGGTTGTCATAAATGGAGGACACCGCAAAGGCAGCTCATCAGCGAGACGCAGTCAAGTACATAACATAGCATGGCATGGCATGGCATGGCACAGCACAGGATGCGGAGACGCGCAGATGCCGTTGCAGCAGGATGTACTTTTTTAACGCAATTGTGTCGGCTCAAACACATTTAAATATGTGCGTTTTCCTTGTATGTGCATGTGGTGTAATGTGCTTGCAACACAGCCTGCACATGCCACAGCGCAAAGACAGGCGCACGGCAATGTAATGTGACAGCTTTATGAATTCAACAACAACGAGTTGACTTTGTCGCTTCTGAGCCGCTTGTTTGTTGTTGGCCTGCTGACTGCCTTACTGGCTGGCTGGCGCACAGATATGACCATGAGTTGTTGCAACAGCGGCGGTGGCAACTTCAGCCATGGCAGCTGCCTCATTTGGCACGCAAATGCAAACGTAATGCCGGCAGATAAGTCGCAGGATACAAGTGTTTATCGGCCTACAGAAGCAAAAACACACATACGCACACACACGCACGCATATATCACATATATATCGCACAGGCATAAATATTTGGTTGCGACCATGCGTTGTGCCGAGAAGTTCCGTTGCATGCAATGAGCATGAAATTCCTACTTAAGGCTTAAAAGCCCAGCAGCTACCTCCATGTACATATATGCCTGTGTGTATGTGTGAGTTAGCACGTGATGTTGCAACCTTTGCATAAATAGCAGAAGCAATGAGTCGCTTTCATATATTTTCAACTGTTTTCCATTTTTATTTTATTTTTATTTTTGTTGTTGTTGTTTTTTTTTTTTTTCTTTTGCTTTTGCCTGAGTGCTAGTGCAGGCTTGGAATAGGAAAACCGCATGCAATTAAACTGATGGCAGATTTGCTGCATTCAGCTGTGCCTGCCTCACACCGGCGCGCATGTGTAGCCGTGTAGATTATTGAAGTCTTAACAAAGATACAGCAGAGAAATGAAATGAAAACACAACAACAATACAACAACCACAAAACATGCTCTTCTTGCGGAGCAGTAGAAAAGAGGCACGAAGAAAATCAAATAAGTGTGTGGATAAAGCAGCAAGGCAGCCGCCGCCGCTGGCTATTCGTGTTCTGTGCATTGCAACTTGTGCAAAAAAAGCTGGCAACTGTGGCTTAAAAAAAAAAAACAAATAAAAAAGTGTACACAAACAGAAATTACATTTATTTGCGAGTTAACAGGCGGTGGCAGCTATTTGTTTGTCTGCTTTATTTTCCTTGCCTGCCTCTACATGGCAAAAGTGTTGCTTCACAGCGTGTTGAAGTGTTGCAAGAAATGCAAATTCCTCCCTAAAGTGACGCAAACGCCAGCGGACGTCGGTGGCAAGTGGTGGGCAATGACGCATTGATGGTTGATGGCCAGGACTGTGGTCCGCGCAGACAGTGGTGTTCTCAATTAATTCCAGTTGCCGATTTGATAGACAGAAAAAAATCGATTTTTTAATAATTTTTTTCAASAGCGATTTGGTTTAATAAATAAATAAAAAATTTCAGAATTTAGTGCACTTCATTATCAAAAATGTTGGACTCCCTTCATCATGCAGCCGATCTGCAGGAATACCTCCAAAAAGCGTGTTGGGCAGGGAACATTTTTTTTGCTTAAGATCTACTCAAATCCAAAATCCTCAAAAAATGAAAACAGTTCGATTATCAAGCATCCAAATAAAAAATGGTGGAATTCAAGCCAATCAAGGGTCATTTGCGGGAAGTATTGCTTTCTCAATAGTTTCAGTCGAAAAAAATTCAGCTCAGTGTCGTGAGTTGCTTGCAGAAACCTCTGGTAAACGTTGTATTAGTGAAATAACGTGTCGGGAATAGTTTCGTAAAATCAAATATGACGTTGAAGTCAAGGACAACTCTCTATTGAGCGCAACTAATATGTTTGAGTCGAGCGTTGAAAGAAAGGCGCCCGAAATTCTCGGATGCTTGTTGCCTAGGTTGTGAAAACACACTTGGAAACTTTGAAATGAAACCATCTACCTCACCTGGCTGGCTGGGACTAAGTCAAATTTTGAGATTCGACAAAATGGCGGCTTCCAAAAAAGGTTGTTTTAGTTGGAATGTTTACACATATGATTTTAATCAATACTCTAAGCGAGCCAACTGCTGCAAAATGTCGTTAAAAAACTTATCAAATACTTGTATATATTCTTGTAATTCAACTCCAAATCAATGGCATCACAAAGGACTACTTAGTCTACGTGGGATCTAACCTAATCCAATCTAACCTAGCTCCAAACCAAATAGTTAGCCTCGAAATCCAACGCAGAATAACTCTTTCCAGCAGATGCTACTTCGAGCTGACTAGGCAATTGAGAAATAAAGTTCTCTCTCGGCGAAGGGAAAAAACTAAATCCTACAAGACCCTCATCATTCCCGTCCTGATATATGCTACAGAGGCATGGACGATGGCAATATCTGATGAGTCGGCATTAATAGTTTTCAAGACAAGGGTTCTGCGGAAGATGTCTGGTCCTTTGCACATTGGCAAAGGCGAAAGTGGATGGAACGATGGGCTGTATGAGTTATACGACGCCATTGACATGGTTCAGTGGATTAGCAGACAGCGAATGGACGAAAACACTCCAGCTTTGAGAATATTCGATGCAGTACCCTTCCGAGTAAGCAGAGGAAGAGGAAGATATCCACTCCGTTGGAGAGATGAGGTGGAGATGCCCTTAGTATCTCGAATTGACGCCAAACAGCGAAAAGGAAGAAGCTATAACCGCGTAAGCGCTATCTACGCCAACAAAGAAGAAGAAAAGTAAACGCAAGTTCAAGATTCTAATACAAAAAATTTTGTTTGCTGCGTATTGTCCATAGTATCCCGCAGAGAAACACTTAACCACTTCAACGTGTATCCATTCTTTAGTAGTACCACAAAGCATCGCACCATCCACCACTCACAAATTTACGTTTCGTTATTTTATTAGAAACCAACTCCATTTTAAATATGCATTCACGCCACCACTGTCTCTGAAAAATTTCCTCAAACTTTTGCTGTGCTTATGTTTTAGCGCTCAACTGCTTGCTGTTTGCTGATAACTGTGCTGGCATGTAGCAACAGCAGTTGCAGCAGCCACTTCACTACCAACCACATGCATTCCCACAAACCACATATATACACCACATGTATATAGGTACTGATGTTTATATATAACTCCTTTTATGCAAATTTATGCAACGCACGCTTGTCATCGCTCTGCTTTAGTTGCATTGCTTTACTTGGAAACATACGTAGGAACATCCTTCAGACATTACGCATGTATGTGTGAGTATTAAGCTCACTTTGCTATAGTACGCCACAGAAATAAATAGGTGTGTGCAATTCTATTTGCAATTTTGTGAGCGTGAGTGAATTCTATTAACAAAATTACTTTATTGTTTGTTACTTATAATGGCATTTGCTTTACCGCTGCAGCTTTGATTGTTAAAAAGCGCTGTGAGCTTTGAAAAATGCGGTTCTTTGTTGAATGATACGATTTCGAGGGGCGGTTGGTACGTTTGTTGTTGAATTTTGTCAAGATATTTAGAACGTCCGAATATAATATTATACCGATAATTCGGTCAAAGTTTTAACCACAAAGTGATCGTGGCAGAATATGGAGATTAACCATTTTTTTATAGCTAAATGAACTCGCTGAAGACTTTTATTTCATAAAACTATCGAAATACATTTCAAAAATTTCCTTCCTTCGCTTTTTATTTAAAAATTTGTCTGCTAAAAACATTCGGACAAAATAATGTTTGTATGAAAAAAGTCGACTAAACGCTTTATCATTGAAACTAGTGTTATTTAATTATAAAGTTGCAACTCATTTAATGAAATGCCGCAGCTCTCGGCACTCTCGCATGTTGCCACTTGCTTTTGGCGACATTCATTAGAAGCTACTTGCAGCTGCTTTGTAAGAGCAGAAGATAAACAGTCACATTGAATGCACTAATTGAAAGGTAAACTAGGAGACAAGGTAAAAGACTACGTCTTAGCATGAAAAATATAAAAATCAAAAGCTGAGAAAATTTATTTTCATTTTCATTGCTAGCGACAAGTGCACCACAAATGCGTTACGAACTATTTTTATGTATAAAGCGAGGTGTTTTACTACGCTGGTAAAGCTATACCCATAATTCTATTCCCATTCCAAAACGTGTGTGTATGTAGTGGTATTGACGTAAATAGAAAGCAAGACGAAGTGCTATATGCATTGAAGTTCTTATTACATAGTATATCAGAAAAGGCATAAATGCAGAAAATGTGTAGATTTTTAAAGCCTGGTGAGAATTGTTGAGTAGCAGCTATTTGGCTTACCTTAAATTTTATGCTGATATTGATGGCAAGTAATTCACTATGTTGCTTTTGTGTATAAGAGAACATATTGTGGCTGATCTGTAAGAGAGAAAGCGGAGTGTTATTAGATAATCTATTTAAATCAGTTCTATTTGAAATCTGATAGAACTTATCTATGAAGTTTAGTCAGTAAGTACAGCACAACTACTGAAAAATGCATTATGAGTGAGAAATTAATAAATTGTTCGTAAGTATTGGCTCAGGATATATTTCAATTATAGAATTCCAGACATAATAGTATATGTCTTTTATACGCCAGTCTATGGAGAGTAGTGAATTGAACAAACTGTACCAGTATTTACGTTCTCCACTAAGAACTTCTTAGCCCACCTTTCGTACTTATTTTCGAGTAAGTTTGCATAGTAAAACATCATCAAATCCCTTATAGTCAATATAAAAGGTGCGCGACTGTGCTAAATTTTAGCATTGCCTAAATGTAGGCCACGTTTAGTTAAATTGAGATTCGTTGCATACAAAAAGGATAATATGTAGTTGAATTCTACATCTAAAATTTATAATATAGAGACACGTTACGAAATAGGAAGTGTTTGTAAATACATTTTAGCTTAAAAAGCAAAAGGTATTTAGTTAATATATCTGACACTTGGGAGATACCCAAACAAGTTAATTGTGTAGAGCGTATAAACGCTGTGATGGTTGAGTGAGTATTGATTATTTATAAATTTCGAAGTCCTTAGTCAACTGAAAATGTTATGCAAGGTTTTCAATTTATAATTGGACTCAGTAGATCACAGGGATTATAAGGATTAGGCACTTGGGTTATGGGCGCCAATAAGTGCTTACGAAATTACATTTTACAGCTGCTGACGCAACTCGATTTTGAAATAGAAAACAAGTGAGTTAAATTACTTTGCTTGAAGTGTGGCGGCTCTAGGAAGTGAGTCAAGGAGGGCGAATAAATTATCAAACGAAGATATACAAACACAGAAGCAACCCTAAACTAGGCATCAGCAGTTTGCTGGGAGGTGTGCTCTCTCGCTTTGAATGCAGACACATATTTACATAATATGCATATAATATGGATGTAGATATATATACAACATATCAGCAATGGAAACTCATGGAAATTCATTCGGTGGTAAATTCGCCGTATTCCCAAGCGCGTCGGCGTGCGGGCGGCTTTCAAACTTTTACGATTGACACAAGCGCATATGTCAAATTATTTACAAGCGCATTTGTGTGAGTGTGCGCGTTTTCATAATACTTTATTTGTGTGTGCGTGTAAATTATAGCATTGCTGTGTAATCTTGCGTTTAAATTACATGTAAATTGTCAATATTGTTTGGCATGTGGGTGAATATATTTATGTTTGTTTGTGTGTATATGGAACTGTAAGTAATTACTTTTATGACGCTGGAAATGTGAGGAAACCGTAGAAATCAAATTTTATGTCAAAAGTTTTGACAAATTTGCGTAAAATAATTTAAAAAGCTTACACTGATTACTAATAAACATAGAAACGCAAAAAAAAAGGTAATAAACAAGAAATTTATGTGGTCATGTCATTAATGTAAAACTTGAGTTAGAAAAAACTTTTTTTTTTTTTTAAGAGAGAAATGAGAAATTTGTATTGGAAAACTCTTTTTTGGCTAGAAATCAACTGTGCATTTTCGAATTCAACAGTTGACAAATTTCTTTACCTGATGGTATGATATACTAATGTTTTCAAAAAATTTTACAACTTTCAACAAAAAATTACTAGTTTAGATACGAAAATGAGTTTCTGAAATAAATTTTTTAAAATGTTACAGATTTCTTATATACAGCAACTAGTCTATTAGCTTTTGAGATATTGATCTGAAATTCTGCACACGTCTTTTTGTCCACAATAAGCTGCTTATTGGACACGGCCGTCGATATTGGACCATTATAACATATAGCTGCCATACAAACTGAACCATCGAAAGGAATTGCTTGTGGAAAACTTTTTTATTTGAAAAGAGTTTTTAACGAAATTTGGTATATGTTATGATTAATAGTAATGATCTATTCCCAGAAGAAATTTTTCAGATCGGAAAACTATAACATATAGCTGCCATACAAAGTGACCGATAAAAACAAGCCCTTGTAAGGAAAACTATTATGTTTAACAATATATCAATACGAAATTCAGCGTGGGTTATTTTCTAAGACAATGGTATAATTTTCGAAGAAATTTTTTAGATCGGACTACAATAACATTTAGCTACCATACAAACTGACTGATAAAAATTAAAAGCTTATAAGGAAACTTTTTTTATTTGACAATATTTTTTAATGAAATTTGGTACTGATTATTTACGAATACAACGGTATAATCTTAGAATAAATTGTTTAGATCGGACTACAATAACATTTAGCTACCATACAAACTGACTGATAAAAACCAAGTCTTTGTATAGAAAACTTTTATATTTAACAAGATTTCATCACAAAATTCCACAAGGATTATTTTCCAATACAACGGCATAATCTAAGAAGAAATTCTTCAGATCGGAGCACTATAGCATATAGCTGCCATACAAACTGAACGATTAAAAGCTAGTCTTTGTATAAAAGCCTTTTTATTTTTTTGATTTGTAAAGGTTATTATTACTACGGAGCAGAATTTCTCATATATGTACATTCTGCACAAAATTTTTTTTTTAAATTAAGAATTTATGCTATCTCATTGAGCTAGAAATTGAAAAATGACTTTTGCCATATTTGTCAGGCACTTAACTAGCACAATGGAAAATGATTGCTACACTCATAAGCCACTATATTCGCACATTCAATCACATGTGCGCTTTTTGTTAGAAATTTTCTATTTTTAATTTTGCTAAAATTCTTCGCGCCACCAGTCACCTACCAGCACTTATGTATGCCTCACACACACACAGACATACAGGCACACGCGATTGCAGTACAGTTGCGAAACACACAATAGACACAATCAATCAAAGTGGCTTTGACATTATTTGGAGGGTTTGTGCAGTGACAAGCACCCGGCTAGCACTTGCTCGCAACCCTCCTGAGGCGCGTATCCATTCACCCAACTCCCCCAGGAGCGCGGGCACTGCACAAAGGCGCTGTGGCGCTGTGGCGCTGCGTCGCTTCGTTGCACAACAACTAAAGGCGAATAATGAGTTGTTGAATGTTACAATGAGCACTTTGTTTGCTTGATTTCACACACACACACACTCGCACACGGACACGGACACAAAAGTGGAAATGTGCATTGCATATAATTCGCGATATAAGTATTTAGTGTCCTGTTTTTTTCGCGCAATATTTCATACTTTACAGTTATTTTGTGTACTTTTGTGTAATACATTTCCTTTGAATCGACGTGGCTTAAAGAATCAATTTTTTTAATAAAGCAAAATGGAGTGCAAAGCATGCACAAATAAATGGAAATAAAAGAGCTGTGAAAAGTGTTAGCGTGTGAGGGGCTTTGAAGTCTGAATTCAGCGCGAAATTTATGTTCGCTTGCACACGAATATTCGAATCTTTTTTCTGCGAAAGCCTTAAAAATATAAAAAGTTCTTAATATTCGTGTGTCGTTAAATATATTGTATCATTTTAATGATTTAAGGTGATACCACTTTTCCTTAGGTTGCATTTCGCTTACCGTTTCGTTCGTTATAAAGCGCCTTTAAAACAAAAATGCTTAATGGAAAACCTTCCTAAGGAACCAAATTTGTTGTTAAAGCTAATGTTCTCTTTTTGATTTCTTATTTAGGTGCTCCAAATTATAATACCCTTGTGTCAGCTAGTCTGAGTTGCTAAGTCGGGAGGAAAATAAGTAGCTTACCGAACAAAGATGCGTACGAAGTACTACAAACGAAGTAAATAAAGGGAGATACATTTTGACGTCTCTGCTAAAAAAAGTTTCAAAAACTTTAAATTTAATCAGGAATACTCTTTTTCATTCGAAAGAACATTCTTTGGCATTTATTTTTTATCATTCAAACGTTGGCCGCACCTACGTCTCAGATGGTCAATTCGTTGAGTATAATTTTCGGTGATTCGATCGAGTATTTCGAGTGGTATGATATCGAACGACCTTGGTGGCCAATCGATTGGCCCAAAACGTCAAATTATCTCCTTCGAAGTGTTCTTTTATTAAATTCATTGATTGATGCGATGTGTATTAAGTGGTGCCGACTTTTTGAAACCAAATATCGCCGAAATCACGAGCTTCAATTCCAGGCATCAAATAGTCGGTTATCATGGTGCTGTCGGCATTGACAGTTACGTTCTCACCGGCATCATTGTTGAAGAAATACGGACCGTTGTCTTTTCGGGATTAAATGGCAGCTCTTGAATCTCTTCAGTTTGCTCTTTATCCCAAGTGCGGCAGATTTGCTTATTTACATAATCATTGACCGAACAGAAATCGAGTGGCTTCAGTTCTTGCATAAGCTGCATTTTATGCGCTTTAAATTTAAGATATCGACGTAAAATGTGCCATGTCGTTCCATATTCAGTCCGAGTTGCTGCGAACGGCGGCGAAACGACTCTTCCGGTCTTCGTGTACACTATAAGCTATGGCTGCTATATTTTCTTCACTGCGTGCTGAACTTGCTTTATTCGGTGGAATATTATCCAATAATGAATGCTGGGTCTCAAGATGGGTGATGGTCTTGAGAATAGTATGCTCAGGAGATCGATTATTTATTTATTTATTTGAGCGAAGCGCAACACATTAGTGAATTTTTGTAATAAAATTGAACGATTTATAGGCATTGCTCAGACGAAAGTCTTTCCATGATGAAATACCAAACAATAGTGAAATTAAGAACCATTGAAATAACAGCACTTTTAAATTATAAAATTCACAGGTTGAGAGGGTCGATTTTTATTTCATAAAACAAATGAGTCAAATGATTCGCTCGTGAATGAGAGATAGATGAAAGTCGCTGAAGGCTCTTTCAAAAATCGTGTTTTAAAAATGTTACGGTGAATAATATCGAATGGGGACTATTTGGATGGCGAGATCATTAATGTAGACAAATGAATACTTTTTCTTTCAAAAAAAAAAAAAAATAATAATA